TTTTTTTTTTTTTTTTTTTTTTTTTTTTTTTTTTTTCTTTTTTCCATTGCTCTTCTGTTTTGCTTGGTACAAGGTTGACTTTACAATCCCACAATCTTTTTTCCTCCATGTGCCTCAATCATTTTAACTCGCTTGCTTTCCTGATGGATTTAATGGATTAACCCAGCCTCATGTAAATTAATACCCATGGTCATTTCTCTTACAACGACTCTTTTTCTACAGGGAAAAGCAGATTACTTCAGTACCTTAGAAACTCATTTCCAAGCACTTACGCGGAGCTGAAGTTACAAAAGCAGCAGTCTGGTTTTACCTGGCCCCAGAAGCTTCCTATCAGCAGCAGTGTTTCTGCGAGCAAGTGCAGTAATTCCTGGAAGTTGCTGTCATGGTAGTCAAAGCGGTTCCCAAAAGTTATGGAACAGATAATGTTTGAAACAGCGCTATTAATTTTGTAATGAGGGTCAAACGGTTGCCCTGAGGGGAACAAAATGAAAGCTGTGAGGCTTGGTCTTTAATCTCGGATATAGCACTCTGTACACAACAGATGTGAAAATGGGGTAAGGCCTCAACTACTACCTATTCATGGTGATGCTGAGGCTTCACCCTGTGTCTTGGAATCCCCACTACCTCTAAAAGCTGGGTGCTGTGTGCCCCAGCATCCTTTCTCTGAGGACATCCCCTTCCATCTAGGCTGTGGCACACCCCAGTGTTAGCATAGAGCTTCTGAAACAGGATCTGAGCCTTTTCTCAGTGGAAACAAGTAGTTACAGCTCCTGGGTTTGTTTGCTCCAACTCATCATTGGTGTCCATCTTAAAGGTCCCTTCAAAGTTTGCCTGGGGGAGGAAACTTAAGACCAGTCACATTGCAAATATGTCATTGTATTGGGCTTTGGCCATGCACCATGAAGAATTCAAGCAGGAAAATCCAGCAATAGCTCGCATGGCCAACAGACATGATGCACATCGGCTCCTAAAGGAGCAAAGCGTGGCATGATGCTCATCACATCTGCTTTCCTCAGGAGAGCTATCGAGCAGAGGCTACCATCTCCCAGGGCACATTTAGAAAGCCCAGATCACTACTTGACATGATAAGAGAGAGTGATATCTGTAATGAGTCCAGCATGGCCCTGAGCTGTGCCGGCGCAGTGGGGAGCATCGTGTTGAGATGCAAGGCGTCATGCACAGCACTGCTCATCTCTCCACTCTGAGAAAGTAATTAAGCTGGGCTGGTGCTCAGATACTGGAGTGATGGACAAGATCACTATTTGTCATTACTAATGGGAAGAAAGGCCCGAAACTGCAGCTTAATTAGTTTATTGATTAGGACTATAAAGGACTATAATCAATTGGCAACATGAAGTATTTGGCCTGTTCAGAGCAACTGCAATTAAAATGGAGCAAGTTCAGTATATAATTTCACAATTCCTATTTAGATCTTTCTTGTTTACTATATATAGCTCCATAGAATTAGCTAAACCCCATCTGCTTCTATTTAAAGCTGAAGTGATACATCACCCATATACCAACATACAAATTATTCTTACTAATATCTCTCTGGCACTTCTTAAAAGCCGGACCATAAAAGAGCAAAGCACACGCTTCATCTGTGCATGATACAAAAGGAAAGCCTGACTAAACAAGTTTTAAAATACTTTGCAAAACCAAGGACAAGCAGAGGTTAACGGAGCCTCTGAGTGAGTGTGCTTGATATCATGAGAGCTGCATTTCTGCCTTTGCAGGCTATAGAAAGGGCTTTCTTAGACACATAAACATACCGATTTTAATAAGCACCTGGTATATATTTGTTTAATATTAGAATGGAAGAATTGACAGGCACAATCCGTAAACTTAAGATAGAGATTTATGCTACTGAGGAGTTGCTCTGCATATTAGGAGTCACAATGGTGTGAATTCATCTGGTAAGAGGCTGGCTGAAAGCTCTGGGCACAGTGCTGCCCAAGGATTGCCTACCCTTCTCTTCCTCCATCGCCTCCACAAGGTACCGGCTCTCTTCTTGCACTTTTGACTCAAAACTGACCACAGTGTTTTTCAGCGTTGCTAAAACAAACTTTCTCTGTTGCCTCCATATGTGCCCATTTGAGGATATAAGACCTGTAGAAAAAACAGACAAACAAAAGCTAGCTCCGTATGGAATGTTAGTGACAGGATTCAGAAATGGCCATCGGTCTTAAAAACCCCAAACCGAAGCAAGTAAGAACTGCAGACATTGAGAAGCTATAGCTTCGCCTGGGAATTAAAATTCAAGGGTAATTGGCTTATGCTAAATATCTAGCTTTATGGATTTTCTTCTTTGTCACTTTGCGTGGGAAAAAAAGGTGTAAGCCAAAATACTCTGAGTACGATCACGCTGCTGGCAGAGCTGCTGCAGGAGCAGCAGAACCCGCCTCTGGAGCTACGTGTAGCCAGGCAGAGAAAGTAAAGGGGAGATAAATCCCAGGGGATCACTCTTCAAGGGGCACTGGGCAGCCTGCATTTGTTTCTTGTCTTTCACCCGACTCAACACATCACGTTGATCCCTGTGTTATCCCTAAATCCCAGGCAGATTCAAATATATACCTGTGAGATTATTAGGCTGAGTTCAGTTCTTGTCTTCCTCTACAACCAGGCTTTTGTTGGCACAGTTACTGAGGGCTGAATTCAGCCTCCTTCACTCTAATTGTTATCACTGCGAATAGATTGCCAAAATCTTGGAAGCTATACTTACCAAAGCCTCTAAAAATTTCTTGGAGAAGCGGAATATGTGGCCGATCTGCAAATATTTCAGCCTGGTGGACAAGAGCTTCTTTCACCATCTGGTACCCACTGACTACCACAAAAGTCAGACCTCCGAACTGCACGCTGAAGATGTTGCCATACCTTGCAGTAAGCTGAAAGAAAGTCCATTACTCTCAGAAGATGGACAAGACCTGGGATCTAACTTTGAGTTTAATTCCACTTGGAGCACTGGGTTGGGCTTAAGAAAAATCCAAACCCAAGTCTTCCACAGCTCTCACCCAACCTAAACTATTCCGCAAAGGCTGGAGATGGCATAAGAAATATTAGTGAGCTGTGGTGTGGCAGGGATGATTTGCATATTGGCTTTCACCAGGCTGCTGTGTCAATTTAACTTGAACCCAAGGACTTTTTGACTGATGGGCACCTGGTCCTTCCCTCTTCTTCACTGAAACAGTGAAGGAGGCAAAGGCTCCATCTGGGTCACTGTGACCAGGCTTTTGCTGCTGAAAGCAAGGCACAACACACAGTCTATTTCACCAACTTTGTTTAAAGTAGTGAGATTTCTTGCTCCAGCTGTCACAGTTAGAAAGTGGTTCCAACTGCTGATGCTCGGAAAACTTCCTCTAATTTTAAGCCTGAATGCATTTATAGCCAATTTATAGCCATTTTCCTTGCATGGACATTGCTAGCATTAGCCTCTCCTCTTCAGCATTTAGCTCCCTGATGTATAAGGGCAGAGGACAATTATATCCTCTCTTGGGTCCTCATTTGCCAAGGAATTCAATGTGCACGCTCCTTAGTGTGACTCTGCAGGAGAGGACATGCATGGTCACCCTGAACTCGCATGGTGGCTAGTAAAACGAGCCTGGGATCAAATGGGCAGCTCTGCAAGTGCTTGCATGCAAATAATTGTGATTAATTTTATTAGTAATAATTATAAATGTTGATAAAATGACCTGAGCATACTGTCTCTGTTCCCTGGGGGATAGCCCTGCTAATGGCTGGGGTAGATGAGATGGGGTCCTCTTTTAAATTGAAGCAAGAGGCTGAAAGTCAGTCAACAGGAGGAAACTTGCAACCAGCACATCAGAACATTTATCTCCCACTTTCTCAGACGAGGTGCTCCACATGTATCAACTATCACTCTTGTTGTTGGCTTTGGTGGGTGTCAAAGCTCATGAAACCTTTCTAAAGTTATCACTGCCTCTTTCTGTTATACAGAAGAAGCCACGGAGGTGTTTAACTGTTTAACTCTGGACCTCGGTCTTTCTTTCAGATGTAATGGTGCAAATTGCAGATCTCTGGGCAAATACAATGACAGTATAATTTTCAGAGGCGAAGTTCCTTGTTCAGACAGTTTGTTTCCCACTATCCCTCACCCATTCTGACCCATACCCTCCAAACCCATCCTGGGCTGAAGCACAAAATGGTTGTGTTGAAATGGGAAGAAAAAGGAGGAACATGCAGACTTCCTCTGGTACGAATTCCCTTCTAATCAAACTGTCCAACTCCTGTGGAAGAGGGGATGGCAGGAAGGGATAAACCCAATAGTTGTCTACATTGTTATTAAACAGCTTGTAAATCAGAAGTTGCCTTTGCTTTGCCTTTGATAGGTGACAAGAATCACTGAAAAGGTGCAATATTAATAGTAGGAGAAATGTCCATGAAGGTCTTACCTTCTGCATCTCAAGATGGAGAGGTTGCCTTAAATCCACAATGGTTCCCACAAGAGGAAATAGCTGTGGCCCCGGAGGGAAATTCCTGGGACGCCTCTTTCTCACCAAGTCAATAATCAAAAGAAACGTGACAAGAACAGCCAAGAGCATCGTAACGTTCGGCTTTTCCAACTGGGAAATGGGCCAAAAGCGAGACTCCATGTTGGTTGACGAACTCCCGGTTTTTCGTCCCAGGAAAGCACTTGGTGCTGGTGTTAAACTTGCTGAAATAGGAGTAAGAAGGGACTAGTGAAGAAAAATAATGAGGATGCCCATAGCTCTCTGGGACAGGACTCGCCCGGGCAAGCTGTTTTGCATAGACAGCTTGTGCCCAGTGATGACTTGCTGAGTAATTTAAACACCGGGACCTTCAACAACAGCCCCTCAAACATTTACCAAACAAAAGCAATCTTTTAAACCTTTGGCTTTACATCTCGGTCAAGGACCTAATTTCCTTATAGAAGAAAATTCCTCTCCTCCGCCCTTAACAAGGAGCTCCTTTATACAGACACCTAACCAGGATTATAAGCATTACAAATGTTTGAGGTTAAGAGAAAGCAGCTTACTGTCACAGAGTTAACTAGATCAATCTATGCCCATAACAGGGGGGCATTAGGCCCCTGGGCCCCCCCCCGGCCCCACAAAATGGGAAGGAAAAGGGAAAAGGGGTAGGAAGATGGAAGCTGGGCCCAAGGAAGGGAAAACAAACAGCGCCGATGATCTATGGAGGAAAACTTATTTTACTAACTACGATATCAGAATGCAAGATAACACAATATAATACAATCTAATTGAAATTGAGACTAATAAATCAAATAAAATAGAAAAGAGAGAGAGTTCCTGAGACCAGTCAAACCTGAAAAGCTTGGAACGGCGAGGAAAGCACCTTCCAGCACCCACTGCCAGGCAGTAAGAGACCGCCCAACTAGGAAAGGCCAGATCCCATGACTTCCATGGCGTACTGGGACAGGTAACTGGAACTGGAGCATTAACGCTTTAACTCCCAGTGCACTGCATGGTGTTATGATGTGAAAACCAAAGATCACAAAACCATGACACTTACTTAGCTAATTACATATGGTGGGCATTGCATAATTTAAAAACTGTAAGGCATCTGAGGTGATGGACAGCATGCGAGTTGCCAAGGGGCTGATCCTGTTAAGCTCTAAGCACTGTCTGGGAAGGGCTAGATGCCTTCAGCACCCACCAAAGCCTGCTCAGCTTTGCTGGAGTCAGGTGAAGTTCGGACAAGGGAAGCACTGTGAGAGCTCTAGGCTCAACTTAGATGAGAGTTAAAGGAGCTTAATTTTGAGAGTGAGAACACAGGCTCATGTGCTTGTTGGCTAAAGGAGAGATTGGAACTTACTTATTTTAATCTCCCCGATTTCCGCAAAGCTCCTCTGAATAAACCTTCATGCTGTCCAAAGGAAGGCTGCAATGGACCGACAGTGACCTCCATGTCCGTGAACCACCCTTGTGTCAGCTGCCAGTATTTTAGCTTTGATTTGTTTCCACATCTTTTATATCTGTCTATTTATATGTATGTCACCACTTAAGAACTGCACTTCACAAACTACATTGATACTGATGCAGAACTGTCAATAATGATTTTAAAATGGCTGGCCTAGAAATTATGGTGAGAATGTTAGCAGAGCCCAGGTCTGTTCAGCCTGGGGAAAAGAACACTGAGAGGGGATCTGATAAATGTTCATAAATATCTAAAGGGGGGTGGAAGGCAAATGAATGAGGCCAGGCTCTTCTTGGTGGTACGTAGTGATAGGACAAGGAGTAATGGTCTAAAACTTGAACATAGGAAGTTCCATATTGACATGTGGAAGAACTTCTTTATGGTGAGGGGGATGGAGCACTGGAACAGGTTGCCCAGAGTGGTGGCAGAGTCTCCTATGGAGATATTCAAGACCCATCTGGATGCCTACCTGTGTGACCTATTGTAGGGAACTACTTCAGCAGCGGGTTGGACTTGATGATCTCTTGAGGTCTCTTCCCACCCCTGCAATTTTGGGATTCTGTGTATGGTAATTTTTTATTTTCTTCAATATTCTCTAGAAGGCTTTAATTTTTTAGAAAAACAAAACAAAACAGCAACACAACAGCATATACTCATGGGAAATAATCTTTGGGCAAAAAATATTGATATTTCTATTCCTCTTTACTGTCCATGTGCTTCACTACTTATTGACTGCTATGCCACATACAGACTGCACGACAGATTTGCACCTTAGTTAGCACAGGACTCCTCCTTAAGGGTGATGCCTATCTGCAACCCAACACACTCAGGTTTGAAATATTATTTACAGGTTTTGGGATTGGGCACAAACTGTGGATCCATAATGGGAGAAACACTGCACATCACTGGTCTGTACTGTACCATCACTGCAGCACAGCTGTGAGCAGTGGTGGTTGGGCACTCTTTGCTTGTGCCCTTGCTGGTGCACCTGGGCTGATCCCTTGCCTCTTTACATCACTGCACCCTCTCAGTGTGGTGAGCTGAGCCTCCGAGGCTAAATCAGGATAGTGGGCTCGTGCTCTTCATCCTGGCATCGGGGAGATGACTCGGTTGGTGGAGGTGTCAGCCTACAGCATGCTCAAAGGGACTGTGATGATAAGGCGTCAACTTCTGCTAGCCCAGTTTCACTCCTCTGTTCTTCGCTATGCCATATGATTTGTCAGCATGCACACAGAGTGCAGATCCCTCTACCACTTGTGGCTGCTGTGAATTGGGCTACGTGCAAAGCCAAGGTGTTAATGTGTTCTTCTGGGTGGTGTTGTGGGGGTGGATGCATCGTGGTTGACAGGAGAAATGTTATTTTTAGCTGGAGGAGCACATTTTGCATGTACTCACATGTGTCTTGTCAGTCAGAAACCTCATGCCTATTACTTTGCCTTGAAGATTCCCATGTCCAAATGCATCTCTTCACAAAGTCTCTAACTTCATAGATTTATTAAAAATCAGGGAAGAGCACTCCAGCATTACCATGCCTCTCCCACTCTTGGTAGGCAGTAACACCTGTACATTACCATTGCAGTCGTGCTGCTTCGGGTCCCAGCTTTTAATCAAATCAGAGCACAGTGATGTGTAAATCCCCAGAGAACTCAGGAAATCACAGCACTACGGCGTATGGGCAAAGAAAAAAGTGTGGACAATTCTGCAGTCTCTGCAAAACCTTGTCACCTAGAAGGTAAGCCCATGTCCCTGGGCAGCACCACAAACACAGGAATATAAACCCTTTGTTGTCTAATAGCCAAAATGTGAATTCATGCAGGATAAGGATGGTATGCCAACACCTAATAGGGAGCAGGTTGTAAGCCCACCTTCCCCGTTTCCTCCTAGAATGCTCTTCTAACCGTAGTATAAAATTTTTGGCCATCTCACCTGAGCTCGTGGGTATTGGGCAGAGAGATACACTGTGCCATATTGCATGGACACACACCCATCACTGCTTAAATATTAAGGCATCTTGATCAGCCAACAGACAGAAATTGGCCCATATGCTTTGTACCTTCTTCCCTGGCTAGATGTCTAACTGTGTGCAGAAGGTTTTGAAACACAAAGAGAAACATTCTGTTAAAAACTCAATTACCATTTGTTTTTCAAGATATAGTATCCCATTATTTTTTCCAGAGAAGTGAAATTCAATAAGGTTACAACAGAATGTAGTCCAACAGTTACCGTACTTCCAGAGCATTATTTAAGCTACAGAATTTCTTAATGATTAGAAACATATGTAGGAAAAATCACATGCAAAATGAGAATGACTGGTGACAATTTTCCCCCTGAACACTTTTTTTGCAGTCGAATAACAGCTCTGTGGTTCCCCTTGCAGCTTGCAGGACCTCCAGGGGACGTAGGAGGTGTGGGATGCCTACCTGGCCGTGCTGACCAACAGGCCCAGAAAAGTCAAAGGAAGCAGGGAATATTTTGCTGCTTCTCTCCTTCTCACATCAGACCCCAAAAAAACCCATTCTTGCTGGTGAACAACCCCACTGTGTGCATGGGGTCACGTCCCACATGGCTTTGTGCACGCACAGCTGTCGCTTCACGATCCAACCCAGGTGAGTCCAAATGGATCCAGAGGCGATGGCGGCTTTGGACATTCATTTCCTTTTAGGATTTGTGTTATTGGATCTGGTGAAACCTACCGGAGATTTGTAATTGCAGAAAGTGAGGAGCTGTGAGTACTGCAGCACCCGTACCTCCTGGAGCAATCTGCGGAGCGTGTGCTTGAACCCAGTGCTAAAAGGGGGAAAAGCCAAGGTTCCACACTTTGATGTGACTTCACCAGGATAAAAAGCTCACCCATGGGAGCTCAGGGCTCAAAGATCTCAGGGAGTCAGACTCCAAGCCCCAAAATTGGGGAGCAGAGTCCCCCGTTACTGCGATGTGTGCATGGCAAATACTCAAACATCTCCAATTTTACATCTTCCCTTTTTCCTACCTAGGAGAAGATGCAAATGCTCTCCTACATACCTCTCACTTATTACCTCCTGGCTGCAGTGGAGCTTCCAGAATGGATTAAAGCTGTAAAACAGGTCTGTCACTGTGAACGGTTAAACTGAGGTGTTTTGAGCCTAAGCTGAACAATATGAGTATACCTATAAAGTGGCCTTTGGTGCAACCCAGGAAGGTTTGCAGAGGACGGCACATTTGGTTCCCTTCTGTAGCAAACCACCATTTCCCTTTTCTGCCATAGACGACAGTTGTGCCGAAGAGCTTTTCTTCACATCTCTCAGCCAGATAATTACATGCAGGTAGCAGGAAGCACATGGGGACCCCTGCCTGTGCCTCCACACCCCAAACACCTCCGCTTTTTGGTCTTCAGGACAAGATTTTGTTCTCTTTGCTGCACTGCTTTTGCCAGCTCCATGCAGTGATGCGCCCACGTGGCCACGTCGAGTCAGATTTGGGGGTGCTGGACTGTGCTCAGCATTGGGTTCCTACACCAGAGCTCCTCCTTTGGCTCTCGGTAAACCTCTGAAATTCTCTCCTTCCTAAGATGCACCTTTTCAATATTCACAGAGAAGAGTACAGTCACATATTCCTCTCAAAGCCACAAGGACTTGACTAGAGCTAAAATGTCATTTATGTACATATCACAAGCGTTTTTCTAGGCACAGATGTCTTTCTGGTGCCAATATGCTGT